AATATTATCTCTGTGACAAGGGTGTGATAGAAAACATGACCCACTGTCTGTTTTACTGGGACATCCATCATCAGTCACTACCAGTCTCTTAATTAAATTTCTAGGGCATTCTGACAACTTCTATTTATACTATCCGTTAGACAAGGGAAACAATTATTTTTAAAAGTAACAAAATTTTGTTACCTGATGTATAAACTTTAACCAAAAATGGCAATTGACAATTAAAGGTAAAGGTAAAGTTTCCCCTCACACATATGTGCTAGTCGTTCCTGACTCTAGGGAGCGGTGCTCATCTCTGTTTCAAAGCCGAAGAGCCAGCATTGTCCAAAGACGTCTCCATGGTCATGTGGCCAGCATGACTAAACGCCAAAGGGGCACGGAACACTGTTACCTTCCCACGAAAGGTGGTCCCTATTTTTTCTACTTGCATTTTTTACCTGCTTTCGAACTGCTAGGTTGGCAGAAACTGGGACAAGTAATGGGAGATCACCCCGTTATACGGCACTAGGGATTCGAACCACTGAACTGCCAACCTTTCTGATCAACAAGCTCAGCATCTTAGCCACTGAGCCACTGCGTCCCCTGGAATTGACAATTGGCCAGGTGCTAATTTTATATATTTATTTTACATAGAATACATAGAATAAAATAAATTTACACGATTTACGTGTAAATCAGGATTATTAGGGAAGTGCTCAACACTTTTTAGATTCCCCATCATCCCTTTCTTCAAGGAAAAGGTATTACAGTAGTATTATAGACATATCATTAATGTTCGGTTTGAAATACCAGTAGATTTCAGTAATTTATTGATTTTATATACTGTTTTATCCATTCCTATTTAGTCATTTTTAGCATTATGTATAGTTTTATGTAAAAAAATATAGTTATTATATACATTTACATAGTTGTATTCATAGTTGATTTTGAAATCCTGATAAATATAACTTTTATTGTTTTATCAATATATAAAATACAAAAAGAAATAAAAGTAAGAAATGGAAGAAAAAAAGGGGGAGAAAGAACATATGAGGTACAAGAGAAGAGAGAAAAAGGCGTTAATTTCCAATTCTTTTTAGCACAGTAAAAGATAACATTACAACCTCAACTTTTTACTTTTACACATTAGTACATAACTAGCCATTTCTATAACAACGTCTGTCTAATCAGTAAAACCAAAGTCAAAGTTCCTTTTTTTTTCATCACAAACACAAAATCTAGAAGTGATATCCAAATAAAAAACATAAATATATTCTCCTCTTTGAATAGAACAATCAATTTAACCATTACTGCTTTATCTTCCTTGCTGTTGAAATAATACGTATTTCTATTTTCACTTAATAATCTTTACAAACTATTGCCATTTATATTAAAAAAAATTACTGTATTCTTTCAGATTCTTTAATTTGATTTGATTTTGAAATCCTAATTTTATATCTCAAAACATCACATGCACTCCAAAACTGAGTTAATTAACCCAGGGATTGGATTTAACTCCAAACAGATTATATCATTGAAATCAACTAGGTCATCTCTTATCACACAAACAGGATTGACTGTTTTTCCCTCCTGATGTCATTGATAAGAGATAAACTCCTAGAGAGGTCCCATGAAAGTAGATGCTAGGAATCCAATCTCTCTGTTCTTGTGGATGCTTTTGTTTTCGATTTCTGCAACAGCCTAAGAAGTATGTGAGTCTATTTGAGTTTCTGTGTGAGAAATGTCATTTTTAAAAGAGAAATGTGAAATGGCAGGAAGTAGGGAAGGAAGTGGTAGCCTCATTTGTGATGGCTGGAGTAAAAACATGGTAGATAGATTACTATATGGTGCTTAACAGGATAGCATGGAGAGTAAGGTAAAGGTAAAGGTTCCCCTCGCACATATGTGCTAGTTGTTTCTGACTCTAGGGAATGGTGCTCATCTCCGTTTCAAAGCCAAAAAGCCAGCGCTGTCTGAAGAGGTCTCCACTAGGGATTCAAACCGCTGAACTGCCAACTTTTCAATCAACAAGCTCGGTGTCTTAGTCACTGAGCCACCGCATCCCTTTTAGCATGAAAAATACTTGCCTATAAAGTGATCAAGAGTTGGACATGACTACATGGTTAAAAGCAACAACAACAGTTAGAAGACTGGTTGTACCATATAAGATTGTGTGCGACTGCCAGACCAAGGTGAGTCACATGATAGGTGGGTTGGATCCTCTTTCTAATCTAAATAGGGAGATACAGTCCAACTGGTACCTAGAACTAGTAATATTATATGCAAACTACAGCCATTTGTATTCTATCTTACTCTGTTTTCGGAGAGAGTAACACTTTTTTCTTGAGAATATACTTAATAAATTCCTATCGTATAAAACTGAAATCTACTGTTATGCCAGCCAATTGTTCCGATAATCCTTTCCTCTGATAACTGAAATATAAGCTCTTTATTTATACATGGAATGTTTTGAGTTACGAATTTAACATTGAAATGTTAGAGAGAGAGATTTGAATAGCAGAGTAGAAGAAAAACCTCAGAACAAGAAAGGTTAATTTAATACTCCTTCTTTGTATAAGTGCTTGATAGACGTTTTACTGTATAAAAACAGTAACCTACCGTACAAAGCTGTCATCATGTGGTGTTTTCAAAACATTTAAGCTCCTAATTTATGTACTGTAATAAGCGGGCACCCCTTAGGCAGATCGTGTTTGATTTATCAAGTTAACTTTTTAAGCATCCAGTATTGACACATTTCTGGAAACACTAAGAGACTCCAAATAAATATTTATCACATCTATCAGGATTTTTTTTTTCGCATTCCAAGTACTTTGTGGTTAATTCCCCACAGCAGCCCTATAGAAGAAAAAGAAAACATATCCCTTGGGTCCTTCCTTGTTTGTTTCCTGCCTTTATTGTTTTTACAAATAAGTCAAGGCGGCAAAGATATCTAACACATGTTCCTTCTCTTATTTTTTTCCCACAACAAACAACCCTATGAGTGGGTGACTTGCCCAAAGTCACCCTGTTGGCTTCTAGGCTGAGGCAGGACTAGAACTCATGCTCCCCTGCTTTCTAGTGTGGTGCCTTAACCACGAGACCAAATTGGCTCATCTTCAAATTGTAGAGCAGGGGTGTCCAACTCAAGGCCCAGGGGACAGATGTGGCCCATAGTGTGCTTAGATCACTCTAGAAACAGCAAAGGACTGGCCCGCAGGGCCTCTGCCAGCAAAAAACAGAGCTTGGGAGGGCTGTGTGCAGCCCTCCCGAGCTCTATTTTAGCTGGCAGAAGGTTGCAGGAGGCCGTTGTAGCCGAAAACGGAGTTTGGGAGCCCGTTTTATCTGGCAGAGTGCTTGGGCCACCACAGGCACCCACGATACGAGTGATGTTGAGCTGGCCATGCTCATCCTGGCCACACTCACCCCAGCCCCCCGAGGTCAAACACAACCCTGATGCAGCCCTCAATGAAATCAAGTTTGACATCCCTGTTGTAGAGAGAAAAGCTACAGCAGTTTTTTTTTTTTTAATTTGATTTATATGCCGCCCTTCTCCGGAGACTCAGGGCGGCTTACAATGCGTTAAGCAATAGCCTTCATTCTTTTGTATATTTTATACAAAGTCAGCTTATTGCCCCCCACAAACTGGGTCCTCATTTCACCTACCTTAGAAAGGATGGAAGGCTGAGTCAACTTTGAGCCTTGGAGAGATTCGAACCAGCAGAAATTGCAGGCAGCTGTGTTAATAACAGGGTGCACTAAACCCCTGTGCTATCAAGGCTCTTAGTTTGATAGACATCAGTCGACGTTAACCAGAACTTTGTATTTTTTTAGCTCCTGAGAACAGTTTCTTTATTATTTATGAAGTACCGAAGGAGTAATGAGACCTAGTTTGGTGTAACAGTTAAAGGCACTGGACTAAGAGTAGCCATGTTCTAGTCTTTTCTTAAGCACAAAAGCTAGCTGAGCCAGTCACTCTCTCTCAGACCTAGGAACAGTGGTGGGATTCAGCCGGTTCAGGCCGGTTTGGGAAAACCGGTAGTTAAATTGCTGGCTGGCCTCGCCCCACCCCTTCCAAGACACCCCACACACCCCATTTTTGCCCCCAGGAGGCTGCAGGGAGGCCTACTAGGCCCAAAATGGGGCCTGGGGATGCAGCACATCCCACCCACCCCCGTGCCCCGTTTTTGCTCCACGGGGGTGCAGGAAGCCAAGTGCTGCCTGTCACACCCATGGCCATGCCCACCATGGCGACACCCACCGGTCATTAGGGCAGAGAACCGGTTGTTAAATTATTTGAACCCCACCACTGCCTAGGAAGGAAGCAATGGCAAAGCAGTTCTGAAAAGTATTTCAGAAAACTGCCCAGGTACTTAAGAAGAATGACACAACCCCCCCCCCCAAAAAAAAAACACTTAAAGTTTTGACACTCTTAAAAGAAATCCTACTTACGCAAGGCTGTAAACTAAATTGATAATATAAAATGAGTTTTAAAAAATGATATAAAAGCATTAATGGTGAAAGTGAAAGAAAGGGTAGGAGGAAAAATTTAAGGAAAAAAACAAAACTCTGGAGAAATTACCAGGGTACTCCTTCTTTGTTTAGGCAATAAGTATTAAGCTACCTGAAGAATCATTAACCTCCCAGTTTCTGGACAGTTAAGATTCAACTGTATAAAAAAGGAGCAAAGAAAGATGTGAGTATTAATCTTACAAAGAGAAAAATGCATGGTTTTTTTCAGTAAAAACAGCATTATGAATGTTGTTAAGGAAGAAATAAAGCATCTGAGGAAAATGACGCCGTCTTTGCCAACAGCCTAAAGCAATCTGAACCATTCTGAACTAGATGCACTTGAAAAAAATTTAAAGTAGATGTATCCTCTATTCTTTTTTTTGTCCTGTTAAGAATTATATTTACTACTCGCTTCCTGAAAAAGAATTCACGAGTAAAAAACTCATTCAACAAAAGTGTTGAAGCTATTATATTATATTGTCAGCACTAGACAATAGTTTCTTGGGGCTTACCAGACTGTCGATGCTGCGGATCTTCTAGGAATTCCAAATCAAGCATCAGGTCATCTTCATCCAGGTCACAGGAGCCCAGGTTATTCAATACATCCTGTAATAAGCCCCGAAAATAGGACATGTTAAGGAGAAAGGAGGAGAACAGATCAAGAGTAGCAGCACAGAAACAACATAATGGGTTTGATGGAAGTAATACGAATTAAGTGAAGAATTGCTTCAACACCAGGCACAGACATGAAGAATGTACAGCATATAAATTGAAATTGGCAACAAAGGGAATATTTTCAGTATTAAGTCAAGATCCATGGAATATTTAACAGATTCCTGAGATGTGAAACCAACCCCAACTAGAACAGAAAAAAAAATCCATCTGGATTTACAGTGTTCTTCCAGTGATAGTTTTAACAGAGTAATAGAGTTGGAAGGGACCTTATAGGTCATCTAGTCCAACCCCCCACTCAAGCAGGAGACTCTACACCAGTGATGGCTAACCTTTTTGCCATCACATGCCAAAAGCGGGGGGATTGTGGGGGATCACGTATGTGCATGCCCACACCCATAATTCAATGCTCCCCAGTGCCCCACACATGTGTGCATGACCCCCCCCCCCGCCCCCCCCCCGCTTTTGGTATGTGATGCCAAAAAGGTTACTGGTGGGCCCGGTAGGCCTGTTTTTCGCCCTCCCCAGATTCCAGAGGCTTTCTTAGAGCCTGGAGAGGGTGAAAACGGCCTCCCCCACCCCGCTGGAGGCCAGAAACGGTCCGTTTCCCAACTTCCAGCGGGCCCAGAAGGCCCGAAAATCAGCTGGCTGGCACGCACATGTGTGTTGGAGCTGAGCTAGGACAACGCTCGTGTGTCCACAGATATGGCTCTGCATGCCACCTTTGGCACACGTGCCATAGGTTCATCATCACGGCCCTACACCATTTCTGACAAATGGCAGTCCAATCTTTTCTTGAAAGTCTCAAGTAATGAAGCTCCCACAACTTCCGAAGGCAACTTCTGTTCCATTGGTTGATTGTTCTCACTGTCAGAAAGTTCCTCCTTATTTCCAGGTTGAATCTCTCCTTGATCAGTTTCCATCCATTATTCCTTGTCTGGCCTTCAGGTGCTTTGGAAAATAGCTTGACCCCCTCCTCTCTGTGACAGCCCCTCAAATACACTGCTATCATGTCTCCCCTGGTCCTTCTCTTCACCAGACTAGCCATGCCCAGTTCCTGTAACTGTTCTTCATATGTTTTAGTCTCCTAATCCTACTGTGGTGACCAAAACTGGATGCCGTACTCTAAGTGTGGTCTTACTAGGGCTTTATAGAGTGGTATTAGTACCTCACTTGATCTTGATTGTAGTCCTCTATTACATTGCTTTGATGTTTAGAAAGGAACCCGTGGGTTGTAGAATCTAATCTTAATTTTGATCCAAAGATGTATTCTCTGGGAAAATAGGAATTACTACACATCTCCATGGCTTATGGATTGTACAACTACTGTATGATAAACAGAGGACTGAGGATTCATCTGAAACATGTGTCTAATCCACCATAAATTATGTTATATAACAAATGTGGCAAACCCTTTGCACTGCTTATTCTTTTCCCTTTTAGTATTAAACTGACAACGGGCCATAAGTTTTATGAATTGTAATTTGTTAGACCACGTATAACTGACAGACTGGACTTTATCATAGATTTTAGTTGTTATTTATTATTTTATACTAGAATTTTTAATTGTATATTACTGAGTGTTTTTATTTGTTCTGGTCTCTGGTCTATGCCTGTTTAGAATTTTGAACAACTATGATAAAGGAAGCACCACCTGTACAATTTATTCAGGATGAGAATATTAGTGAAACAAATATAAAAAAAATTTCAAACATAATTTCCATCAGAGCCAATGAAATGAAAAATATTCAGAGAAGAAGCAACTACAATTAATTTGACAGAAACTGTCCTGTATGCTTTATTATTGACCCTGGTATCTGGTAACCTTATCAGTGAAGCTCAGAACTAGGAAGGCACCATAAAATAAATTATGATAGTGTCACAGATTCTTTGTTTGTTCTTAGAATGTCTTCTGAACCATTCCACATAAATTTTTAAAGGAGATCTCACACAGAAGTTTCAGATGATGGGATATTATTTTGCACTACAAAATCTCCAGGATCTCAGAATATATATAATCAAAATCATAAGTTTTATTTGTCAAGCATATATAAGATAACAGGTAAAAGTATAAACATAATTTGAATACATGAAAAGAGTAAGTAAAAAGGAATATTAGAACAGGGACGGTAGGCACGCTGGTGCACTTATGCACACCCCCTACAGACCTCTTAGGAATGGGGTGAGGTCAACAGTAGACAGTTTAAGGTTAAAGTTTTGGGGGTTTGGGGAAGAAACTACAGAGTCAGGTAGTGCATTCCAGGCATTGACCATTCTGTTACAGAAGTCATATTTTCTGCAACGAGTTAGGAACGGTTTACCTTGAGTTTGTATCTATTATTTGCTCATGTATTGTTGTGGTTGAAGCTGAAGTAGTCATTGACAGGAAGGACATTGTGGCAGATAATTTTATGTACTATGCTTAGGTCAGACTGAAGTCGGTGTAGTTCTAAGTTGTCTAAGCTCAAAATTTGGAGTCAGGTGGCATAAGGTATTTTATTGCAGTTAGAGGAATGGAGGCCTCTTCTCGTAAAGTATCTCTGGACTCTCTCGATTATATTTATGTCCGATTTATGCAGCGTGGGTTCCAGACAGATGAGCTGTATTCAAGAATTGGTCTAGCAAATGTTTTGTATGCTCTAGTTAGTAGTACCACATTACCAGAGAAGAAGCTATGCAAGATTAGGTTAGCAACTCTTAATGCCTTTTTGGCAATGTTGTTACAGTGGGCTCGGGCACTTAGATCTTTAGAAATGAGTACTTCAAGGTCCTTGACAGAGTGAGGGTCATCTACAAGGTCATGTTCATCTAATTTGTATTTTATGTTTTGATTTTTTTCCCCAATATGCAAGACAGAGCATTTGTTGGTTGAGATTTGAAGTTGCCACTTGTTAGACTAATCTGACACATAGTCAAGGTCTTTTTGAAGGGTAGTTGCATATATAGTGACAAAGGTATTTGATACGGGAATATGTAATGATTTCTATGAGACAATGGGATTATCTTGAATTATCTGATCATAAACATCCATTGAATATGAAATATGAACCATTAAATAAATATTAGACTGGAAAGAATATAAAAGAATTCATAAGAAGCCACCAAGGTATCTGAAATGGACTCCTTTGTTTCTTGCATATTATTTTGATAATGTTCTTAAACAATACCTCATAAGACTTCATGTAGAAATGTACTAATTATGCTAAATTAACTGTGTGATCTGTTAATGTGATTTTTGCTGTTTTAAATTGCGATATAATTGCCTAAATAAATAGCATTTGCTGGCTCACAGAGCTTATTTAATTTTAACAGTATTTCTGTGATTTTTGAGATCAGCAAGGTTAGTGGGGCAAGATACTTCAAAACTCTGAATGTAGTAAAGTGTGATTCTAAATGTAAACTGACTCCTAAACTGTAAAGCTCAGTGAGTTTAAATATTAAGCTAAGTAACTTTAGACAGATATTAAGATGATTTTCAAATATAAAGCAATTATTTATATGAAAAAATTAGAGAGTGGTGTGATGGGCTAGAGGTGGAGTTCTCGCCTCACAATCAGGAGGCTGTGAGTTCAATCGTATGTAGCTACAGATATTTCTCTCTCTGAGCACAAAGAGAAAATATCTGCTGCTAACACCGTGTAGGTGGAATGAAGGGCATCAGACTAGCGAACGCTCAACTCCATTCAGTCACTCCGACTCCACCGCAATGCAAAGGATTACAGGGTCATTAAAAGAAAAAAGAACCTCATATAAAAAAGTTAGAACTCAAAAACACTGTCATCCATCAACTATTCTAACCTGGACACTCTTGTACCCCCCCCCCACCTTTTAAAAAATTACTGTTATTAAGGCTATTTATAAATTCAACTAGTTCAGACTGCAAAAATCAGGATGACCCCTGATGGCACTAAAGTGACATAGAAACTCTTTAACTGCATCATGTAGAATTTAGGAAATCCAGATATAGTAGCTCTTGTTAGAACTTTGATTTAGCAGGATGTGCAAAGTTTTAACAGTATGTGTGCACCTGTGCGTTTGTATAGTTTTTAACACTATGTGTCAAGATCTAGTTTAAAATCCCCCCCAATAAACATATTCTGTTAGTTAAGAAAGAGGAAAGGAAAGGAAGGAGACATTTTTCATCGCTAGTCCAAAGAAATGCTGACAGATGAATGCTGACATGTTCACCTCCTCTTTTTTCTCCCTCAAAGGTTTAATTACTGCTTGCAGAAAAATGTTTCAGCAAAAGGCCTTAATAAAACTCTCCATTTATTCTGAAATGGCCCCTTAGAAATTCTAAAATACAACTTCCCTCTTTTGCTAAACATGCTGATTTTAATCCCTGCTGTACATATAAAATGAACATGGACTTTGCTGTTTTGCTCAACCACTTATATTTGTACTGAGACACCTCTCTTATACTAAAGTGTGTGTGATGTCATCAAACAATGCAAGTAAAATACCTCCACAGTGGATTTAGGTACCTGCAAGCTGGCTGATAACTCTATTTTATAACTCTAAAACCCACAATCATTTTTTTTCCAGGGGTTGGGGGGAGAAACAAATTCTAAACTGTGAGAATCAACTTTAAGTTCTTTTTCCCTCAATCTAAGTAGGTTGCAGAAGCAACAATGTTGGTCGAAGGAGAATTGCCACTGGAATTCAAACTATTTGCCCCATTGCCCTGGGATAACTGAAAGCAGTAAACTTAACAAGGAAAGTGTAGATTGAAGATCGATAGATAGAGGAGCTAATACAAAAAATCTATATATGCGCAGAAATGGACAAATTAACTCTAGAGTTACAGGACAAGGAAGACTCAAAATATTTTACAATATGGAATAGATGGTACCAGTGGATAAACCAGAGGAGGGGGAATGGGTAAAGATGAAATCCAGAAGAAATCAATACAATTAAAAACAGCACTGTCAGAT